GGGCTGTCAGAAAGCCACACACACCTTCTATTATTATATTCACACCTATTAAATGGTGTTACTTTATGATAGTCTCTTGATTTACATAAGATGAGTATATATAGCACCTTTTACATAGGATATTGTTAAAAACCTCTTGTAGGAGTCATTATTCATCTCTTTTCACTGTCAGCTCTTGATCCAGACCCAGCAACATTAGTACAGCATGAACCCTAGGTGCCATGGAGGACTGCAGCCTTTTCGCTGATGTAGGGGAATAATTTCATTCCTTCCTTTTGGAGCAAGTTTGTAACCAGGAGGGAACGTGATGAAGAAGAAAGAGGCCACTGTGAAAAAATACAGAGATGAAACCAGCTAGAAGTACGCTGTATTAGCAAGATAGAAAAAAGCTGAAAATATATTCTATCTATGGTATCTCCCTTCTGTCTGCAAAGTCCAGCATTGTCTCTCTTTCCTCATTGATTTCTTTCTGGCCTTCTTCAACTAGCTTATGAATTGTGCTATAATGCTGTTTGCTACTGCTGAAAGAGTAGAGCTGGGAAGCATCTTCCCATGCCTGAAAAGCTGGCAGGGAAATCGCTTCTGGTTCCTTGTTCTCAAAAAAGCACTTCAGGTTTCGCTCACTCAGCTTGGTGGCATACAGCTGGAATATCTGCTCCAGTTGCTCCTTCTCCTTCTCCGTGTACACCCTCCAGAACATCAGCTGGAGGTGGCTGACTTTCGACTGGCAGCTGGCACAGCAAGTGGTGAGCAGGGAGAGAAGAGCTGTGGTAACGATCACACACCAGCCTAAAATCTGGGAAAACCAAAGAAATGAGTTTCAGGTTAAAAAGGCCCAAGTGAAAATGCTACTTAAATCAAGAGTGTCCAACAGAGCGACCACACTTTGTACGGAGGACCTGCCGCTCCTCTTGGTCCCCTACTGTGGGCGTCTCGTCCCAGTTTGCATTCAGTGCCCAGCATTAGTGTTAATGGGGCGTCCGTATGGGGACCAGAGGGAAGCAGAAGACGTCAGGGTTGAGGCTTCTCAATAGCGCTCAGTTTGACATCTCTTTCTCAGGAAGGCAAAAGCTGGTTGATTTTTACAGTGGAAGGTAAAATGCTCAAGAAAAGTTGGCTTATACTAGAGTCTGGCTGCCCCCGTGTCCCGTTTTATAACGAAGGGAACTTGGATAATAGCAGCTGAGGTGACATGTCCAGCACAACGGCAATGGCAGGTTCAGGGACAGATGATCTCGAATCAGACCTCAACTACAAGACTGTGCATGAAGAAAAATCTAACAGAGGTCTAAATGATCAAGCAAATAATGTTATGGCTGAATAGAGCTATACAGAGCTATACAGAGCGGACCTGAGAGCAGAAGTAGCGTCTGGCTGATTTAGAGAGGATATTGATGAGAGTTTATTGCAAAACTATAACCATCTGGCATGCAGTGTATTGGAATTGCTTACTGAATTCTGTCACGCAAAGGGAAAAGTGCACAGAGAGAATAAAATCTCACAATCACTAGATGGTAAATGGTTTGCTATCTCCTGAAAGCATTAAGTAAAATTACCCAGCAAGAATTAGGATTAAGACACAATTCTAAATTGTGACAAACTACAAAACCAAAAAGGGTAAGTAACTTTTGTCCCAGATCACTCAACCTTTTAAACTGTGACCATTTTTAGATGTGTTCTTTTCAGACTTCTTTTTAATTAAAAAAAAAAACCCAAACAAACCCCAAACCAACAACTGCATTAATTAGCTAACAGGAATATAAAAGATGGTCTTAAATTTAAAAAGCGTTCCTCAATTCTTCTACCAGGAGATTCATTGAAATCTATGCTATTCTTGTGAACTTTTTTTTTTTTTTAATGAATCAGCCCTTTGTAGTGGAAAATTATTTTTATGCCAGAACTGGTTTAAAATTACCTTCTTGTCCAATCCTGTGAGAATGCTGTGAGGAGAGGGCATGAGAAAGAAGAAATAGCATGTGCATTGGCAGGTCTGTGTTGGCACTGGAATAGAGCCCAGTTTGTCTACACACTGATTAGAAATAGTTGCTGTATTTTCAGAGAACTTTGTTTTTGCTGGAATATGCTTTTCCAACATCACTAGACTTTTTTTTTGTAGCAACTTCAGTGTTTGACAAAATTCTGTTAAGAACATTTTAAAATAAAGAGCTGCTTCCAGGATTAGAGCAAGGGCTGAGTGTGGGAAAATGTGCTTGAAATTGTTATTGTGGGATGTTCTCCTCTAAGGAGAGCAGATTGTGAACACAATTTTTTCATGCCTAGTGCTGCTGGCCTAGCTGATAGTTTTACCCACCTACTCCACTGCAATGTGTAACATTTGCAAAAAATAAAACCAACTTGTTTTCAAACAGTGGAACAAATTCCACTATGGAATAAATCTTTTAGGTTTCAGAGACCCATATGAACTGGAACTGATTTCCCATGCTTTAATGGTGTTGATATGGAGAGCTGCAACCTTTCTCTTGTGAACTCTTGCACTGATGTTAAAAAAATAAACGCCAGTAAAAAATCTGTATTTAGCTGAGGGAATATAGAAACTTTCCTCGGGGACATATGTGAAATAGAGAAGCTTGGCAAACAATTATTCTTAGGGACTGATATGGGAGAACAGCTTCGCTTTCTTTTCTTTTTCCAGTCACTTTGTACTGACTGGTGATTTCTATGGGTATTTGAGAAACTGCTCTTTTTAGCAGCTTTTCACTTTTTTTGGAGAATGAACCCATGTATTCTCATGCTATAAACTGAGTCACTGGTCTTTCACTTTTTCCTATACATACAACTTAAAGTCTTAAGTACTATTTGTTATTTCCTTCTAAAACTCTCAGATAAATTGCTTTGTCTGCAGTGCAGGCTTTGTCTGCATTCCAGTCCTATTTGCATGAGGACTTGAAAATAAAACTGGCTTTTGGGGAGGAAATGGTTCCAGATGGATACAATTGCCTGACAAAAACTTGCTGGCTGCACAGAGTGTTTTTCCTTCCTGCTGACAATCATCTTTCCATCTTTTTCTGTAGTCTTTCCCCCCGCCGCCTTTGTTTTGTTTTGTTGGGTTTTTTTGTCTCTGAATTCATTTACATTACAAGGCAGTGAGCAGAACTGTATCACAAGAATATAGTAAAATATAATATGATCTCAGCTTTGCATGTTCTGCGTGTTTTATTTTAGTGTTTCTTCCTTCCTCCAAGCAGGACAAAAATGTGCTCTCATCTGGCATCATGTACACAAACAGAAACATATTATGCAAGCAGTCACAAATCTGTCACAAATCTTGTTTTCAAGTATTTTTCTACTGTTAGTGACCTAAGATTTCATTACAGGTTGTGATGGTATAAAATCGGAGAGTGTGGTATGGATTTTTTAATAGGACAGACCCCTTTAATAGGGTGACATCTGTTAATTCAGCCTCCTAAACAATCCAGTATTTTTTTCTCTTTAGAGCAGGCTTCATTCAGGAAGACAGCTTTAAGTTATCTGGTCTTATTGATCCTGCCGTCAGTGGGGCCCCCCAGGAAGTACACCACAGCTCAAACTGAACTAAAAGACAGATTGATTGTATTTTGCAAGGCTGCATCGTGTCAAAATTTTGTTTATGTGAAACCAAAGGTTTTATCTTAGCATCTGACATCAGGATCTTCAACAGATAAATCACAGCGGCAGTACAAACTGCATAATGCTCTTTATTTTTCTTACCTGGGACTGTGCTTGAAGAGTTCGCTTCAGTTCGTCGCTCTCTGAAAAGGGCATGGAGCTTTTGTCACAGACTACCTTGTGTAGCTCTTCAAAGCACTTCGCAGATTTGCTGTCGCAAACTGCATTTAAGTAGGCAGGATTTTTCAAGCCACTCATGGCACATTCGTAAAAAGTCCCGTTGAGCAAAGCCACCGAAAGCCACATCACTGGGGCCACCAGAGCGTTTAAAGTGACTTGTCCAAAGATGTAAAAGCAATGGCAGATATTGCCTCTGGGGAATATTTTTCTGGGATTCACCCAGCAGCCTGTAAAGAGTTTCCAGGTCTTGCTGTTCAAGAAATATCCAATAACTAGCAAAACAAAAGCTGGGGAGAAGAGAAATACCAAACCGTACCTGAAGTTCTCATTGCTGCAGGGGCATCTGAAAGCAACAAGAGAAAACACACGTTCACCTCCCATTGTCAGCAGTGCCATAAAGCTGTAACCTATAGCGGTTTTCCGGTTCATAAAGAATTTCAGGATGGTTTGGAAACTATCCATGTTTGGTACTCACTAAAGAGGTAAAAATCAAGACACGCTTATCTTCGGTTGCAGCAGTCCGTAGTGGTGTAGCAGGGGAGAGCTCTCCAGAGGAAGAACAGCCTGCTGCTAGCCTGCCTGCATACGCGCCGGCTAGATAACGCCGTGATGTCACTGTCTGGAGAAGCGCGCTCACAGGGGACCTCTCTGCTAGCACAGCAGATGTTGCACATTTACAGTAACATTCATCAGTAGTAGAAGGAAAGCAAGCAATGCGCTATATAATCAAATAAATTTGCAGCCTTGGCAGTCTCATTCTTGGTGGGTTGGTTTTTTTGCGACTGCAGATGGAGATCGGAGTAAAAACACACGCTCACCAGTTGCGGGAGTTCTTGAGCTGTGATTAGCAAAGTTGCCGGCAACGTAGTGAAGGACCTAATATAGATGCTAATGGTCCCAGGGGAGTGTGACATGACTGAAAGCAGACAAGTGATAACAGTAAACCCACTTCATATGGGGTTGTAAATGTAGGAACATCAAAGACAGAATAAGCAGCCTTCTGCTGTACTTCCCTGGAGTATCACATCGCTCCAGATTTGCATCTCTGGCTCAAGCTGATCACAGAAGAGACAAATCTAGTTTGCTTTCCAGCCTGTCTGGCCCTTCCCCTTGTTTTCCTGGGGTAAAGCTGGTCTACAGAATGCTGCATCCTAAAGTTTCACCTCTGGTTTGCACACAACAAGTTCAAGCAGCAGAGTTTCATCCTTTTGCAGGTTGCTTTCAAGATGTACCTTGGGGTCACCCCTAGCGTGAGCTGCAGTAGTGCCGCAGGAAATGAATTCTCCTTGATCCTGGACAAAAACCCACTAGTGGACTTTGTGGAGGAGCTGCCAGCAGAACGAGCATCACTTTGCTACTGTAACCTCCTCTGCGGAGTGATTCGAGGTGCCTTGGAAATGGTAAGGAAGGGCACGTCTGTTTTCTCCATTCTTTGTTAAGATGCAGAGGCACAGGAAAGCAAAAGCACTTGCTAAGATAAATGAAGGAGGTTTAGTAGTGTTGAATGAATCTCTCAGATTAAATGTCTATACCTAAGTAAAAGAGGGCCAGGCTGATCCTGGATCCTGAGGTAGAGAAGCACGCAGGTTGGCTCACCTCCACACTGTCCCTGCGTGGCTCTTCCATGGCTGACTTGGGTGCAAAAGCCAGTGGGAGCGGGGAGCCAGCTAACACGTACTGCGGAGAGCCCTGGGGGCATGCCGGGGGACTCTGCTGCTGCTCCTTCAGCCTACCTCATTTTCCTGCATAGGTGCAACCGGTAATAGCCATCCCTGAGTCTTTCCAAATACATGAAGATAAATAATATTGTCAGGTTACCGCAGCACCTGCTGAAAGGGAGAACAAAGTGCGGATGAGTATAACGTTAAAGCCAAAGCACCAGCAGTGCATGAGATGGATTCCAAATTTTGTTCTTAAATTTAAGACTTTTACAAAAGAGTAAACGAAGGGCATCATTTGAAAGTCACTGAGGCGTAGAGCTTCTGTGGCATTTTCTGAAAAACATAGATTTTGGTCTGCTTTATGTTTCTGTCAATATGTAATTTGTCATGTATCTTATGTTTCAAGAAAACAAAAGCTGTGCAAGTATTATGTATGTATGTCAGTCTCAGTATTGTAGTACCTAAGACTAATTAACAAAAGAATTCTATCATAAGTATCAGTACGTGACCAGAAAATTTTGTGATCACAAAATCAAGTACACAATTTAGGTTCTCGGATTAAAGCAAAGCACTGGAATGAAGGGTAAGCTATTATATAAATTCCAGTGTATATAAACTGTCTTTTTATTAACTCAGTTGGGAAAGACATTTTAAAACAATCCAGAAATCTGATTCTTATGAAACCTGAGAAAGGGGGTCCCCTTGTGGTAAGAGAGAAGCAGCTTGTTATACTGGAGGAGGGGAAAAAAACGGGGCATTTCTTTGCTTAACTGATCAGACCTGATTCTTTCTAGGTTCACTTAGCAGCAGAAGTTACCTTCCTCCAGGACAGGCTGAAGGGCGATGCTGTGACAGAAATAGGAATTACGTTTTTAAGGAAGGCTGAAGACAGAAAGCACAAAAGAAATAAATGAAATATTGGGAGAAACTCTTGCTGAGGGCTATTTTGCACCTTTTGTTTCTGAAGAAGACATGCAGGGTAAAAATGGCTTCGCTGAGCCAGCTGCACCAGTTGCACACTTGAAAGGTGAAGAGAGCCGGGTGGCGAGCAGGAGGGGCAGAGCGGGGGGAGAGAAATGTTAATTGCCGTGACACAGATACCAGTGTAAAAGATCAAAATGGCCTGCCCTTCCTTTTTGCATGACCGTGCTCTTGAGCTCAGTGAAAGTTTTATCTCAGTATTTAGTACACACTGGATGCAAAATATTCATTCGGACGCCAACTGTTTTTGGATAAACATGACCACCTTTTCCCATTTTGTTTGTTGGTAATGTTTCAAAGCATGCTTGCTAAGCGGTGCTTTATTTCCCTGGCTGTTTGTGGTCAGGAAAAATGAATTCATCCGCTGTGACTGCTGTGTGCAGTGTCTCGCTGTCAGGTGCCTGTTTTGATGCGTAATGGTTTGCCACTCACTGTCCTCCACACCAGACATACTGCTGCCTTTGAAACCAGAGAGGGATGCGGCTTCACTGACGTCGGGAGCCGCTTCAGTTCATTACGGCTCTTTCAGGCGCCACATGCAGTTTTGCTGGCGTTGCCTGTTCAGCCCCATGCACACGTCAGGCTGCAGCACTGACAACCGCACCGATGCTTGTGTTGCTTCAAGCCATGGCCCTTTTCACGTCAGTCTTCTCTTCAGGAGCACTGATCGTATGACCAAACTGAACAAAGCATGGCGTATTTAATGTGTAGTCACTGTGGATCTGTACTCACCTAAGGAAACTCGAATAAAAATTCAGAGATTGCCACACAACTGGTTTGCTGGTCGTTGTGTCTGTTCTTACCTGACCTTCATCACTGGCTGTTGAGCATCTTCCCCTTGGCAGTGGACTTGTTACCACAATATGACTGGGAAGTAGAGAAATAGCAGCCTCACAGAGACCTGAGTCATAGGAAAGGTTTAGTGTTGTCCGGTGTAATGCAAGATACCTGGGTAAGGGTTGGACAACACCCCAAGTCCTAGCACAGTACCCTACCCATGAAGCCAGCTCACCTTCTTCTCACCAAAGCTCTTGTTTTAAACTGAAATACAAACCCACAATTCAATTCAGTGAAGCCCAGAGTTAACTGTGATTTTATCGCTGTGATTTGTACCTTTGTCTCCTGTTTTTCCCTCAGTCTGTTTACCTAATCCTGCTAAGTAAGGGACACCTCATATCTTGGGGACAGCGGGGTTCATTCCCACCAGATCTGTGCAATCCTCATGATAATCTTTCTGCCTTCGTTTGTCTTAACAGTGTCGTACAGTGGTGGTGTAATATAATGGTGCTTTAACAGAATAATTTTGTACAGAACAAAAAATAAGCTATTCATTACCCAGCCTTGGGTTCAGCCCAGTATGCCATTACCTGCTATGAATAACGAGGTACAACATGTAAAAATGTGTTACAACCCATAATGAGTTTCCCTACATTTTTTTTATTTTTTTTTACACTCACGGCTGAAAGGTCTTGTGGAGTTTGTCCGATTTCACTGCCTGTGCCGGCGCCCTCGGTGGAGTTTTTGCTGGTTCTGCCCAGCTGGCTGAGATGGACATGTGGTGACTTTGGCTGACCACAGGAAGGTTTTTTACAAGGCAATGGCCATTTTTCCTTTTTCCAGCATTCTTCCTACACTGGATCACCTTGTCCATTGTATTCTAAAGATGGAGTAAGTAAATGTTAGGTAGAAAAATGGTAATAAACAATAGAAAAACCAGTGACCCACACTACGTTACCATTAATAGCTGACATTAGCTACCCTATGCACACACAGTCTTTTGCTTGTCTCACTTGGTAACATATTCACAAAAGTGTTCCTCAGTGTTTCGTTTTACTGTAGGCCCTTCTTTTGAAGGCCTCTAATGGAGCACTCACAAGTGTGCTGAAGCTTCTCTTTCTCTGAAATTTCTTTCATTATAAATGTAATTACGTACAGAAGATATGAGTGTTACATAAAGGTGAGGAAAAATTCAAACGTGACTGCATACAAAACCAATATATAAATATCTGCTTCTATCCTTATACATAGATACAAATTTTTTCCTTCCCCTAGAAGTCACTTTATCTGCGAAAAACAGACTGCCATCACTGCCAGCAAACTTCAAGATATGTATTGCAGTCCCATTTGAAGCCTTTGCTCATTGATTTTAATTAGAAGTGCTGGCTCTGCGTCTTCCCTGGAAAGCCGAGGCAGCTTTGGTAATGAGACCCGAGCAGTTGTGACCGTGAGTGGGAAGTGGCAAAAGCCCACCCAGATGCAGCTGAGAGGATTAACACGAATTCTGAGGGTTTTTTCACTGCAGCTTCTCATCGGGAAATGAAATAAGGCATGGCTTGTTCGTGGAGACTTTCCATCTATCCTGAAGTATTTTATTATATCTCTAAGGTAAAGAAAGCCTGGCCCCACTGCGCCAAGGAATGTTTTGGCACTGATCGCAGTGGGGCCGAGACATTATATCCTTCCCATTTACGACATTCCAGAGTAGATTTATCTTTCTCTAAATATCAATGAACAAACGAACTCTTCAATACGAGAGGTAAAATGGAACATTTTTAACTGAACTGTGATTCCTGGAGGCATGAGTAACAAATTGGACACTTGTTAGTCTATTATCATCAAGTTTCTTGGAAGGAAAACAGCACCGAGCAAGTCGGTGACTCTGTGACAAAATGAATACTTTTTAAAATTCTTTTCTACATACAGAATTAAATCCTGTTTTCCCTTCATGTGTTATATTTTTGTTTTATAATGAGAATGAAGCTTCCAAGCTAGTTATACTCATCTAGTTAAAATAGGCTCTTCCCTTACTTCTTCCTTGGAGAATGACTGTAATGAACAACTTCATGGGATTCTTCTCTGTCTGAATAGTTTCCAAGTTAGAGTTTACTGTCTAGAAAGAGAAGATTTCTGGGAGGAGTGAAAGGACAGCCCAGCCCAGACAATATGACTCACCCTCTCTAAAAAAAGCTTCTCAGAGAAAAACTGAACTTTATCATTCTTCACTCAAAACTAGTATCTTTGTTTATTATCATTCCATGTTCTTTGCTAAGAGCATTATTATTTGCTAACATGGATTGTGGATTTATAATGTCCTTAAGTGTGTAGCTGTGCTGTAAATGTTTGTTAACATAAGCTTCAGCTATACTGCCATGTTATGCATAAGCCTAACCGATCGAGACATGCTAATTTGCACTTAGACTTCATTCTGGATCAAGTTAAACAGTGTATTTGGCAGGGACACCCAGGTGTAGCTTAGGTACTGATGCCAGGGCCAAAACCCTATATGTAATATTATATATTTTTAAAAAACCCATAATAATTATGTATTTGTCAGAAAAAAATAGAAAAAATATAAATGGAATATAAACAAGAAGTTTAATGTTGGTGTGTTTTCCCTGCAGCATTCAAGTGCCTATTTTTTTTCCATTAAAGAGCTTTACAACTACAGGAAATGAGCAGTAGAGCTAATTAAGAAGGCCTGCTGCAAAAGGTGATCAAGATCAGGCAGTGGCAAAGAAAATTCACCACCACAGAAGTTTTTAGCTTCACTGTTATTACCTAAAGCTGCTGAGCATGTAGGGTTAAATTGGTTGGGATATTTTTGCTCATCTATTCAAACTGATAAGCAGCTGAAGTCATTCTGATGGACGCCTTTGTTATGCACAGGTAGCTCCAAAACGCTAATTGCTTCCCAGATTTTAAAAGATATGGCCTGAAAGTAAGTATTTTAGTCTAAAGCTTGCTCTAAGCTCCACTGAAAGATGTATTGTCAAGTAAGAGCTAATAAACTAAGCTGAATTTCTGATCAAAACTTCCATTCCTTTTTGCCTCTTTGATACTGCCAGGTATGAAGGTTTGGTATTGTTGCTCCAGCTGCCAAATGCCTTTAAGGTGTTTGGTAATAATTTGACATAGTACGTGCTGACATCTTTGTGGATGCTGATTATTTTACAAGTGTGGCTCTTCTCTTCTTAATGAACAACAACATATGAAAACTCCCATCATGACAGATCTATTTATTTAAATGTACTTAAGCAAGAGTAATAAAGTGTATTTAAAAACAAATCTGCTGAAGGTTACAACTATCAGCTTCTACATACAATTTGCATAGATTTCAATAAGAGCACAGAATAAGACTCTTCTTATATCAGTAGGGTTAAAAGACTGCTAGGGTTGCAAAGGATTTGTTTCATTAAAACCCTGATTCGCTTGCGCTTCTTCATCCACAAATCCTAAAACAGGGGGTTTCTGATTTCCTTCCCCGAATCTGATGCTGTTGCCTCTGTTTGTGTTAATGTACTTGTGTATCATGCTGTAATACTGCTCTTACGAATTTAAGGTCTACAAGAATGAAATCTTCCGCCAGTCTTCATTGCTGGAAGTCTGAAATGGTGCTGGGTTAGTGGCTTCAAAAAAGCAATCTGTATTTATTTCTGCCAGCCTGGTTGCATGCTCTCTAGCCTTGGTCCCAAAGAGCTCCCGTTCCTTTTTTGAGCAAATTTTCCAGAACTTGAGCTGAAGATAGCTAACTGGGGAGCGACAGTGGATGACACGTGTTACAATCAGTGCCACAGTCATGATGCTGACTATCAGGAGCCGTCCTATCAGCTTGGAAAAGAGAAAGATGGGTTAATGGTGGTTTTGCATGGTCATATGTAGGAGTATAGAACTTAATATTGAAGCAGACATGAAAACTGTAAGCAAAGATACCCTGGAGTGCCTGTAACAGTCTGCTTGCTGCAGAAAGAGAGGATCCCGTGCATACGATTCAGCCAGCCTTACAGAACTTCTGCACCCCTGAGCTGATCTGGTTGGATTGAGGATGAATACTAAAAAAAGAGAAGGTGAAGTTCTTCCTCAGTTATATCCTGCTTTCTTAACTTTAAAGGCCAGATACTGACCAGAGGTTTCTGCAGTTGTGGTTAGATTTATGGTACAGAGGGTGCAGAATCACCCTGTCTGCCTCTGGTGCTGCGAATTAGACCTCCTGTTTTTCATCTGCTTTTGGGAAGTACCTTCTCTCCCTGATGTCTGAGCCTGCAAAAAATAGCCACTTGCCGCAGCACACAGGAAAAGTTGTGTCCTGTATGTTTTGTAGGTTGGACACAGATTTGACTATTAAATATGGGAATTTATTCTTGTTTTATACATGGTTTAACATTCCTAGGTAAGTCTCAAAAGGCCCCACATAAAACAGGTAGATGCTGGTCCCTTCAGTACTCAGTGGTACCTAGCTGGAAGGTCCAGGCAGACACCTCACAGCATTCCCTTTCATCTCAGGCTGATTTTTTTCCAAGAGAAAAACATTGAGTGCTGAAGAAAAATGAGTTTGTATTCTTTTTTGTTCTTAATTTTGTTGAAAGTAGATCAGATATTAAAAATAATGGTCAGTAATAAAAATGCTCTCACACTTTTTCTGTTTGTTCGACTGATTTGGGGTTTTTTTAGATTTCATTGCAATATCAGTAACAGTCAGTCTTCCTTGATTTTGCTCATTTCTTACCCTATCTGAATTCAGTGGTATAGAGTTGCCCCTTTTCAGCTTTTTCTTGGCAGAGCAGCATGCTAAATATTTAACAAATATAAACACTTTTTTGGTTTTAATAAGCATTTGTACTAAACAGGAACTTACAAAAATCCAAGTAATTATAGTCTCTTATAAAGTTAACTCCATTAACCAGCCTTAATGTTTTCCTGAGAAAAAGTGGTAAAACCTGTTTTTTTCACTGGAGTTAAGACGATGACCAAACAAACCTAGAAACAAAACTGGAGTGCTGCCAAAATTTGGGGGTTTCATTTCACCCTAAAAAAAAAAAAATCCCCACACAAGTGCTATTTTTTTGATCATGCAGTTTGCCTTCATCACAAGAACACTCTAACAAGACAGATACATATTTTAACTCTTCTTCTAGAATACAAGTGTGAAATTATTAATAGGTCCAAGCGCTGAGATTTGTAGTCAAACCAGCTGTCCTTATTTGTTTCACTTGCCAGCTCTCTGTTGCGAAGAGGCTTCAGCTTCCTCTCTATTCGTGACCTCAGCTTCCCCTCACCTAACGTGTACTTACAGAAGTCTGAGGTATTTAAAGGGGTGAAAGTGGAAAAAGATAAGAACTCATACCATGCCTAAGTTAAATGAGAAGAAAACTTGCTGTGGAAAGTTCTGGTCTCTAGGCTGGTTCCCTGCCTGGCTTTGAGAGAGGTTTTGTAAATGGCAGTGCCAAACAATTGCCATGCAAACACGCAAAATCAGAAAATAGCACAAATATACACTTGCTACCTTTCTGTTAGGTTTTTTTTTGCTAATGAATTTTTGCCAATGGTGTACATTTGGTACAATATATAGTGTGAGAGAGGACTGTTTAGTCCCCAGCAGGCACAACCATGCGTTGAGCAGCCAGCGTTGAAGCCCATAGGGTGAAGAGAAGAGCGGTGAGGCTCTACCTGGGACTGTGCCTGAAGGCTGAGGAATTCGCCTAGTATCTCCTCCAATAACTTCTCGTTGCAGGGTGTTTTGAGCAGCAGCTTGTGGCACTCTCGTCCTTTATCTTTACACACGACGTTCATTATCAGGCTGCTCCCGCTGGCTGCGCACTCGTAGAAGCTGGCTCTGAGCCTGGCTACCGTGATCCAGGAGAAGCCTGGGTCCACCAAAGCCCTGGCTGTCACCGACGGCAGCACGAGGCAGCGGTGGGAGCAGGTTCCCCAGGGGCTGCAGCTCAGCACATCTTCGGAGGGCAGCTGCCTGTCCCCAGGCACCACGTCCTGGCGTTCACCATGTTTCAGCCAAGCAGAAAGAGGATGAAGGCAGGCACTGCGAGGAAGACGGAGCCGTACAGCACGTTCCCAGGATTGCCGGGATGCTTGAACACCACAAGGAGAAGGTGTGCTCGCTGGCAGCCGTCAGCAGGGACACAATGCTGTGACCCAGGACGGTGAAATCTTAGTCAGAAAAGGAAAAGAGAAAGACAAGTATCCTGAAGCTCCCACAGCTTAGAGAAGCTTGCAGAGCTGTCACATTCAGCGGTGGTGGTGATGCACTGAGGCACAGCAGCAGCTCTCAAAGGAGACAGCAGAGCACCCGCTCACTGCACCGTGTCAAGGTCAAGTGGAGACCCACCCCAGTAATCAACATCAAACCAGCAAAGATCTATCTTTGTTTCTATAAAAATAGTTTGTACTTGTCCACACATGCATTGTAACTAGCAACGCCTTAAACCTCATAATCTTTTCAGTGAAGCTTCTCAGTGACGCAACAGATTCAAAGTGTGAATAAAATGTGAGAACACCACCCAGAACTGTGTACATTTTTTCATCCTGCCTTACCATGAGCAACACAATATGGCTTGTTCTCTTCTGGCAGACAGTTCAGCTACAAACATCTTAATTATTCAAGCTAATCAATTAATCTTTTAAAATTAGTTATAGTTAGAGCAAATTAGCCAGTGCACACATAGCAATGACCCAGTAAGTGGTTTCCACTGAAGCTTCAGCTACCAGAGTACCATTTGCCAGGAACCAGACTTTGGACTCCCTCCTCCGTGGCACGTAGTGGCAGCTTTGTAGCCCAGAAAAAAAATCCACCCCTAAACGAGCAGAAACTAAGCAGATGGCATGACGTGGAAAAATCATGGAAAAGGCTTGCATAATGAAGAAAAATATCTGGAAGGGATTCCTGGGCTTGGAAGACTGAGCTGCCTATGAAAACATTTGCTCCTAGAGTCCATAGGTTTTGTTCATGCCCTGAGGGAGCTCGACCAGGCTCCTAGCTAAGGTTTGTCTCTTCTAAATCTAGATGAGGTGAACTGGCATTCAGAATTAAGGAAGCTGAAGCTTCATTGCTTGCTCATAGCCATGTAGCTGAAGCTCTCTGAGGCGATGTAGGCAGTGCGGTAGTTTGCTGTTGTTACGTGCTTGGTGACAGCCAGCCGTGCAGCCAGCCGGAGAGCTGGTGGTCGCTGTCATTTTCTCTGCCACAACCACTTACCTGGGGTTTGAGAGTCAAAATCACCTGCCCCTTAGGGCATAAGCTGTCTCCCTCACTAGGTGCATCAGCGGTATGACTTCATCCTGATCCGATTTCAAATGCTGTCATTTACACTGCACCGATTCTTCCTGGGTGTTATCACCGCACAGTTTACCACAAAGCCAGAGCATCACCCCGGGCTCAGGCGAACGCTGCCTCCAGGTCAGCCAGCCCGGTGTTGGTGCTGACAAGGCAGCAAGGGGTGATGCTGCCCGCATCGCTCCGTGCCGTACCGGGGGCCGCAGGAGCCCAGCGGCTGGAAAGCTGGTGCGGACGAACGCTGGGCTCCGTGCTGAGCTGCTGCCGAGAAACCCTGCTACTGACCCAAACGCCTGCGTCAGCCTGGAGGAGACTTTGCTTTGTTATCGCGCGGCAGGGTAATAGAAAGGTGTAAAACCAGCCGGAGTGAATCAGCCTGAAGGCTGAGTTAGTTTGGTCACCTCTTGGTTCCAGCGGAAAGCTGGGGAAGGAGCACGAGGGCACAGAAAGCAAGCTCAGGAACGCACTCACGCCCCAACAATCTGCATTTCAGGAATTTCCTTTGCATCTACCACCTGCTGATGTATTTCTTCTGTAAATTTGTCCGGTTTCAGTTTTAACCCATGCAGACTTTTTTAACATCCGAGACATTGTATAGGAAGCGTGCGTAACCTTCATTCAAACCTGACACTCCCCCATTCGATGCCCCCAAGTTCTGGCAGGGGAAGAGAGAAAACAGTGGATCCCTACCTGGTCTCTCCATCCGCTCTTGATCTTGCACATCTTCATCATAGCCCCCTGTTTTCCAGGCTGAGGAGCCACTAATAGATTTAGCCATTCCTTGTCTGATGTAATATTTGTTTCTTTTTTGTTTTTTTAAGCCAGGTTGCCACCTGAACCAGTCTCTAGGATTCAGGTATCATTTTTTACATAATGGGAAATGGGGGGTATGCCAGATTTACAGTGCATTTAAGGTGCAGCTGAATCGCAGTTTGCTACAACAGCATACTGACACAGTTTTGTTTTCTATTTCCTTGTAATAATTTCTGGAATTTTAACTGCTTTTGGATCATCCATGAAGCACTGAGTTGATACTTTAGTGAGTTATGTATTATAATAAAAAAATCTCAGTCCTGAGGGATAATATCAGTCAGTTTAGAGTCTATCAGTATATATATGAAGGTAGGATTTGGTTTCAGTTTGAACACCACTTCCCCTCCACTGAATTTGACCTGCCATTTTGCTTTCTGGTCAGGCAGTCTGGTAAAGTATACCTGCAGCTCTTTAAAGCAGAAGTTTAACTATCCAGAATATTGGCAAATATCATTGCCTTGATTTTTACCCAGAGGGAATGGTTAGTGTACCTTGAAACCAGAATTCACCATGTCTGAAAAAGTTGTAGCAGATGTCGGGGTGGCAGAAACAACAGAAGCAAGGTGAAATCACTGCAAAGGCACCTCATTACAGAGACAGGGACGTGGGCTGCCTCTGAGCACCACTGGTTTAACAAGGGATCCCAACGACCAGCGGCAGTCCTCTGGAGCAGACGACGACCACACAGGGGAAAGAGTACAGCCAAGAAGTGCTGCTACTTCACTTTCTGAGCCTAATTTTAGCAGTGTTTTATTTATCTGTAATAAAATACGATTTCAGGAACAAGCTTCCTGGGAAAAGGGCAGGGAGCTCTGCGTGAAAAAGGATTAACCCTCCCCTCCAAGCAAACATGTTTCCAGTAAATACTCCAGAAAGAGGTGGGAGAGGGAGGAGAGACCACCCTGGTTGGAAAGCGAGGGTGTAGCTGTGCTAGGAGTCAAATGGGGAGCAGCGATGGCCGGGGCGAGCCCCACCTGGGGGGGCTGGAGAGGGTCCCAGGCAGGAGGGGAACACAGAACCCCGTGGCCGGCTGCTTTCGGCGTCCTCAGAGCATTGTTCTCCCAGGGCAGTTCTATCTTGCCCTCTAAATTAACACTTGTCTCGCTGCAACAGCTGTAAAGCATTAACTGGAAAGTGTTTAAAAAAACAGTTTTCTGCTAAAGAACACAGAATTCCAATGTAATGGTTATTTTTGCATTGATTTGCATTAAATTTCATGCCTTCCGAGGAGGATGAAAATAATGCCAGAATGCAAGAGACAGATATTTTTAGAACAAAATGATTATTTTTATTATTTGAAACATGTTTTCTTTTTGAAATATACTTTATTAAAATGAAGGGGTCGGTCAATTGAAAACAAATTGACTTGTTTAATATTTTATCAAGTTTCTCCCTGACGTTCTAATTTCTATCCTTGCATTTGCAGCTGAATGAATCTCAGACATTTTCTAGGTGGAAAAATCTGTAGCCTAACTAGTTCTGTGGTTGTATCAAATGCATAATACTGGTCTTAAATGCAGCGTGTATGTGTGCGTGCGCGCATATTGAGTAGATCTTGTTTTAGTAATGTTAGTAAGTCCTTATAATAGGTTATTTTTTTTTTTGCTGGGACATTTTCTATTTGTTTGGAATAGCAAAAGACTGGTTTTGTTTTTCTACAAATCATTCTCTTTCTAGCTGCTCCGACCAAGGCCCATCCTGTCCCAGATTCCTGTCATTAGTCTTATCAAGCTCAACTTCCTCTTCACATTATTACTCTAATGTACATTGTACATCCATGGATGCAATGGAAAAGAGCACATCAGCACTGGTTTTCTTTTTATAACAACCGGACTTGCTTCTTCAAGTGAGAGACTTGTAAGCTGCATTTCTCAGTGCCTAGTTCAGAAGGACATATGGAAAAGTCTTTTTATTCTAGGAAAATTCTTGTAATGCCTTTTGTCTCGTTCCAGGTGAAATTAATGCTTAACTAGTGGGGGTCTTGTCCACAAGCAGATCTGCACCTACCCTCCAGGTGGACTGACGTCCCCCGGGGGCCCATTACCTCAGTTTGTGAAACCAAGGAAGTTATTCTGACTTTACAGTTGAACCAGCCTTCTTACATGTTTGCGGAGTGTCACACAGCTCAGTGGCACCACATAAATCATTAATAGTACTAATACTTAGTAAAGAGCAGCCTGAGAAGTAGCACTGTGACTGGGCATGTACAGCTTACAAGTATTTGTGTACATTATACTGCTATTTTAAGGCATTACATTTATTAGCAGTTTTTGGCTGAAAATGAATTTTAGTGGGTAGGAAGGAACCACGTCTGCAAAACCCAGTGTAGCTCTGAAGGAGGCTCTGACGGGTGAGCTCTGGTACAGTCACACAGGCCATTGCACTGATTTTCTCTTGCTATTATTAACTGCTGCTCTTTTAACACTACAGGTCTCATTTCTGGATGGGGAGAGTCCTGTAACCCAGTCCGAGTGTCCTACAGCAACCAGCAGTGTGAGGGCTTTACTGTTCCATCTACACTAATCTACAATCTATAAGTGCCATAAATAAGTCTGTGTGATTCTTTAAGTGTTGTCTGTGGATTAAGTGAAAACAATTTGCTGAATTTATAAGAAAATATATGATATTTTCATAGGATTAGAAAAGTAGAAGTTGTCAGGTTTTATGATGAAATTAAGGAGCCTTAGTGAGGCATATTATAGAGTTAACTCATCTGTAATCAGGTAAATCAACCTCGGTAGTGAACTAGTTAGTTATAAGAAAACAAAGCTCAGTCTTTTTAATTTACTATGGAAAATGAAATGCCATAAAATTACTTTGCAAGTTTAAGCACATTAAATCCAAAATACTTCTATAATCTTATTATAAATGTTTTGTATTCCATGCGTCCTTGCTTTCTTCAGGTTATGCCATCACATCTTGCTGTCTTGGAATTGCTGAATAGCTGAGATTTGAGTCTCTTCCACTCCTTCTGTGTGTGTGTGTGCGTGCATGTGTGTGTGCGGCCTGATTCTGTCTGATCATATGCTACAAAATATGTTCTGTACTTTTTAATTCAATTAATCCTTCTTCCTCTTTTTAAACTTTAACTAATTAAGTAGTTCTTCAGTTCATGGTAGTATGCCCCTTTCCCCCATTTCCAGTTTCCCATCCTGGGCTCCTTTGCTGCCCAAATTTTGTTACTTAAAGAATTTTTTTTCTAACAGTAAGGCAGTGCAAGAGCTGAGACCCTATCCCTTTCAAAGCTGTCCACATGCAGCTATCTTTGTTATGCCAATAAGTTCACAGCCTTCTCTGGGTAAAATCAGGTGAGCAAGTTAAGAATGAAAAAAACCCCTAATGAATCTTCCTGTGAAGGGATGCCAGTCATTTCTTCTTAGTAAGTTTAGAAGACAGGCAAACCAACTGTCCATATGGAAGAGAGTGCTCAAAAACATTAATACACTTTTACCAGTGAAAAGAAATTTCACAATAGTAGCCACAGCTACTACTTCTAACGTACCCCTGGAGGAAGATAACTCCACCAGGAAGCACTACTTTCGCAAAGGAAATGATGGGTGGCTAGACTTCACCGCAGATTTTTCAATCCCTCTCCCACCAAACAGCCTACATGATATACTAGATTTAGCATATAATTAAAATTTAGTATACGTTTCTCTCTGCAGAATGAACATTCATTCCACTCTTCATTCAGCAATGATGACCTCGAGAGAGGTCTAGAAACGGTCTCAGTCTCCTGTAACTGAGTTTCGTTCTTACAGAATTGGAAAGTTTCTGCTCCTCAACGTCACTTGCTCATATAGTTTTCCTAATCGATCTCATTCCTTACCTGCAGAATACCCAAGCTGTTTCAGCTTACCATAAACGTATGAGCCGTGTCAGACTCTATAGCAGGTATGTCTGGCTTGTATTAAAGGCTGAATTCTGTTACACTCAAAAGCACTTTTGGTACCTGCCTTTTATAAGCAGCTAGTCCTGCTGTCAGCCTGTCCTGGGAGAATCTACGACATTGTAACTGGCAGAGAAAAATCTTTTTTTTCTTTTTCGATAGGAAGATATGATTCAAAAGGAAAGAATGATAGATGGGACATAAGGAGAAAGCATTCCCAGTTGCCTATATCTTATGTTAGCAGTAACTTTCCAAGTGTCTGGGTCTGCTTTCATTTATTCTGTAATGCTCAATTACTCCACCATCATTGTCATTTTATTTGCAAGGCATTTGCAGCTGTAAGTATTTCATTGCATTACTGAACATCTTCTATATTCCTCTACCTTACGTAAAGGCAGAGTTATTTAAGTACCCTCCCAGGGACTCTGGTCCTCTGCCCATTTTTCCGTTGCTAGAAACCTACAGTTGGGTCCACCAGAAGAAACTTCATGAGGCATACAAGATTCTGTTTTACCAGAGTTTACCACTTCTGCTGTCAGAAACAGATCCTCCATGCAGCTCATTGGAGGAACATCCTATGGAGCCTTGGGGCCTCTGAGGCAGAGTAAGATATACGACATTTTAAGGCAAATCCATTGCATACTGTTCATCACTCACTAGGGAAGTGGGATCTCATCATTGATAATGGGTCAATCACAGTCACCTTCCTTACCTGGCAAACTTAATAAATGAAAGAATACAATTACTTGACTTGATCAAAAAAAGGGTTATGCCATATAAAAAAAAGACAAGCATGAGAGAAGTGAATATAGTTCTAGACCATAGTTATCATCAGTTAAGATCTACTGTAAGTGCTTTAGCATCTTTACTAGGTCATGAAGCAACTTGGCCTTCCTTAGCATGTCCTGAAGAGTTCAGCTCCTCATCTTAAGGCTAGTCCTATTCTTTAGGGAGAAAAAGAAATGCATATGCCGATCACGTACTCTCTCTTGCCACAGGCTGAATTCATCTAGCTTAGTCTCCCAGCAGTGTGGCAGTCTAGGGAAGTTTCCGCGCCCCATCCTCCTCAAGATTTC